CCGTTCACCCATTTCTCTTACCACCCTGCTTCTTGGAACCACCAATCTGTATCTATGAGTTTCGTTGTTTTTTGCGGGGGGTAGGGGTTGCTTGTTTAGGGTTTTTTTTGTTTAGTGGTTTTTTTTTTGTCTTTGTCTGGCTTCTTTTGCTTAACATAATGCCCCCATGGTCCATCCATGTTGTTGCGAATAGCAAGATTTCATTCTTTTTTATGGCTGGATAGTATTCTGTTGTGTGTGTATATACCACAGTTTTTTTATTGGTCCATTCATGGGCACTTAGGTTGGTCCCATATCTTGACTATTATAAATAATGTTGCAGTGAACATAGGATGTCTCTATGAGATATTGATTTCATTTCCTTTCGATAATAATATACCCTGTAGTGAGATTACTGGTTATGGTAGTTCTATTTTTAATTTTTTGAGGAACCTCCATACTGTGTTCCATAGTGGTTATGCCAATTTACATTCCCACCAATACTGTACAAGGGTTCCCTTTTCCATATCTTCGCTAACACTTGTTATTTCTTGTCTTTTTGATAATAGCCATTCTAACAGGTATGCGGTGGTATCTCATTGTGGTTTTGATTTGCATTTCCCTTAAAACCAATGATGTTGAACATCTTTTCATGTATCTGTTGGCCATCTGTATGTCGTCTTTGGGAAATGTCTATTCAGATCTGCCCATTTTTTATTTGAATTGTTTGGATTTTTTTTGCTATTGACTTGTATGAATTCTTTATATACCGGGGGGTGCCAGAAAAAAATGTATAGAAGTAAACACTTTGGTCAGCATTGCTAAAGCAGTAGTTTGTTGTAATCAGAAGTGCCTGCGCGCTGACCTAATGGCTCACTTGTTTAAGAATGCCAGCTCTGAGCAACAGGGTTGCCGGTTCGATTCCCACAGGCCGCTGAGCTGCGCCTGAGCTACCAACAGATGGTAGGATGGCTCAGCTGGTGAGAGTACGTGCTCCTATCAATGTTGCCAGTTTGACTCCCACATGGGATGGTGGGTTATGCCCACCCGCGACTAATATTGAACATGGCACCTTGAGCTGAGCTGCCCTGAGCTAGCTGCACCCTCCACAACTAGGATTGAAGGACAACAACTTGGCTGTTCCCTTCCCCAATTCCCCAATAAAATCTTTAAAAAATAAAGAAGTGTCTGGACATTGATGGTAACCACTTAGAGCACCTTTTGTAATTGCAGAAGTCAAACGTGACTTGTATTCATCTTTTGTTATCAATATATATGATTACAATTTTAAAATTTTTATTTTCTTAAAATGTGTATACATTTTTTTGGCACCCTCTGTATTTTTGGATATTAGCCCCTTAAGAGATATGTGATTTGCAATTATTTTCTCCCATTCAGTAGGTTGCCTTTTAATTTTGTTGATGGTTTCCTTTGTTGTGCAGAAGCTTTTTAGTTTGTAGTCTTGCTTGTTTGTTTTTGCTTTTGTTAGATTGTAGTTTTAAAATGAAGTATGCCTCTTTAAAAATATTGGTTAAATAACCTTAGTGTATACTGTCTGACAGTACTGGCAAGACATCTGTAAAAGAACTGTCCTTGCTCTCAAGGTCGCCTCAATTTAATAGGGGAGACAATGATTAGAATATGATAAAAAGTACATGATGGAAGCCTGGACATTGGCCCTGTGTTAGGGGTTTAGGTGGTAGACATCTGGTTTTGCATATGTGATTTGTTCACCTGGTGGGAAGTTGAGCATAGAGCTGCTCAGAGTGTGGCTCGAGGCCTGGCTCTGGTCTTTGAACTGTTGCTAGCCCTAGATGAATACAGAAAATGGCATTAAGTGTTTGGAAACTTGTAACAATTTGATATTGCCACATTTTAATGGAATTTTTAAAAAATATCTGCCTGTAACAGATTAGAATTAAAAATGGACCTTTACCAGCTGAGAAGTATACTCCTGTAGCACAAGTTGGGGCTAAATACTTTTCATTCTCATAAAGTTGAATACTGTAAAGTCATACAACGTGGACTATTAACTTTTGGATCGCAAGTTAGAGTTTTCTCCTATTGGTATAGTATAGATAGTAAATAAATACCAGTCAAGCAACATAGCAAAGTATTATAGAAACACAGATGGAAGCATGCAGCCCCGATTCATATTCCAGTTCCAACACTTCCGAGCCTGTTTACTTTTCTGTAATAGGATAATATATCCCTCGTTGGGATTGTTTGGAAGATAGAGCTAAAGGATAAGGAATAATAGTGTAATTTGTTGATAAATGAAAGCAAAATGTAAAAATGGTGCCTTTTTACCCAAATCAAAACTGGTATAAGGAATCCAAAGATCCTAAAAGGGGTCCTATACCCACACTACCTGAACCATGGTGATTGCTGCACTTAAATAATATTTTTCGGAGTAAATGCTGGAGTACAGTCTTTCTTATGATTTCACTATTTCTAATTCATGTGGAAGCATTTCTGTATGTACAAAATTAAGTTCCATGAAATTGTGATTTTTAAGTTTATATTAAAACAGCATATAAGCGTATTACATTAGTGTATTTTGTATTTAATTCCTACTACTGTTTAAAAATGAACAATACTTTTTATATGTTTTTAAAAGCTTCTGTATTTTAGTTCTGCTTTGAAAAAACTTTTTAAATTATATTTAATAGGAATGGATTCAGCAGAACAACATTTTATCCATAGTTTTGCGAGATAGTCTTCATCAACCACAGTATGTAGAAAAGCTAGAGAAGATTCTTCGTTTTGTCATCAAAGAAAAAGCTCTGACCTTACAAGATCTTGATAATATCTGGGCGGCACAGGTAAGGATTTTGAAATGGTGGTTTTTATGGATTTTAAAAGAAGGATACTGGGGGAGTGTGAAAAAAAAAATAGAGAGTGGGGAAAAAAAAGAAAGGTACTAAAAACTAAGGAAATATAGTAGTTGTTACGAAATGGGATGAAGGCTTACATCATTTGACTTTTAGTATGTTTAAATACTTATTGTTTACAGAAATCCTGTCAGGAATCTTTCCGAAATAGTCAAAAATTTTTGAAAAGAAAGTATTTCATCGTCTACTGCATGTTTTTGGTAATTTGTAGGTGGCAATTTGTAGTTGTTTTTAAATTAGAAACAAAGAGCACTATAATAAGGAATGTGAAAACAGTAACATAATAAGGAATGTATTGAAAGCATAAGACATCTATAATTGGTTTCCTCATAAACTTAATACAAAGAATAAAAACATGTCAGGAGGGTTAAATCACTAGATTATTTATAAAGAACTATAATAATCCAAAGAATAAGCAAACTTGCTGGTTTCAGAGCTGGAAACGCTATGATTCCTTTGATTATCTTAATGACAAGTTTGTACTCATGGATCACTTGGGAAATATTGAATTCTAGATTTGCAAAACTTTTGTTTTTTGAGTGTACAGAAATCAAGAAAACATTCAGTTTTGCCATTCAGGGCTTAAGGTTCCAGTTTTGAAACAATACCACTGGCATGCCTTATTTTTTTTCCTACGTGCAGTGTTAAAATTGACTCATTATATTCAATAAACTATACTGAAGTGTCACATGAATTCCCAAAGTATGCATTAACTATGTATATCAAAAAATTGAGTTGTCAGGTTTAAGATGGCAGTTATAAAGCATTTAAAATGTTACAAATTTTCTTGTGTTACACAGTTAGATGAAGGAGTGGGGAATACTTTATTAATTAATAGTTGTCAGCAGGCAGTATGCACTACTTATCTGCTGTTCAAATTTTAGTATGCTAAGATTTTGATTGCTTTTCTTTGGTTTTTCAATAGGCGGGAAAGCATGAAGCCATTGTGAAGAATGTACATGACCTATTGGCAAAGTTGGCATGGGATTTCTCTCCTGAACAACTTGATCATCTTTTCGATTGTTTTAAGGTAATAGTTAACATAGTAAAGTAGTACCATTTCATTTTTAATAGCATTAATTCATTAGATCTGTATGTTGCTTTTAACCAATAAATGCTTCATTAGAAATCATTGAACAATTTCTGGTGTGAAGGAATCAGCCATTGTTTTCCCAATGAGAACTTGATGTTCCTTTTTATAATAACAGCCCTCATAAATAAGTAATCCCCACCCACCCAAAAAAACCCACAAAAAACCTCAGGTTAATTTGGATTCCTTTCCCCTAGAAGTTGGTATTTTAATTGTAGGTTCAACTGAACTGTAGGACTTTAGAGAAGGATGTTAGGTTGTAATGAAAAATACGAGTTGACAGCAAGGGATTACCAATACCTTGGCATTCTGGGATTGACATACACAGCCAAATTGGAAATTAATTCATGGACTTACTGGAAATGTCATTTATAAGATAGCCCAAGAGTCCCTACAATCTTATCTGCCATCATGTACTTTTAAAGGTCATACTGTGTAGTGGTCTCTCTCCAGTTGCTAGTATTGGGTTTGTAAAAAGCCAAATGATTGGTGAATTTGTGGATCAAGAACTCAGGGCCTTATGGCAGTGAACACAAAGGGGTGTTTTTTTAACAGCTGACATTTGATCACAAAGGTATCTTGTTAAAAAATAACAATTATATTGACTGCTGGTGGGAATGTAGTTGCTACAACCAGTTGGGAAAGTAGTTTGGTTTTTCTAGAACACTGTAAGTCTCTCATGAATCATCTGTTTGATTTTTTGAATGTATGCTCTGAAGAAACTCATGCATGTGTGCACCAGGATACACGTTCAACATTTGTAGTAGAATTATTTGCAATAGCAAAAAACTGTGTAGAATGGATAAATTGTAGAATATTCATATAATGAAACACTTCACAACATTGTAAATGTCAGTGTAATAATTCCATTGAAAGGCTTTTTTGTAATTCACTTAATCAACCTTCTACTCTTTGCCATTAGGTGGATTTCGGTTTATTTTCCAATGAACACTGATTAGCAACTTGATACACACAGCTTTTCTCATATTATTCAGCAACATTCTTGGCCTCTACTCATTAGATGCCACCAGCAGAGCCTACTCCCCATTGTATAAACTGAACATTTTTAAAATGACATTTTAAACTGATAAGAACAGATACTACACTTGATCTTAAATAACATTTTAGATATTTTTTACCCCGTTTTAGAGTTATTAAATGAGTACTCTTGTTAATTGAAGTAGCATTGTATCATTCCTATGTAAGTTAGAAATTATTTTTCTTTGTTAATAACACTTTGTTATAGATTTTTTTTAAATGTGTAATACACATTGCTCTGTAATTGGCTTTTTTTATTATGAAAATTTTTGTGTATGAGGTTTCTTTGCCATCTTTTAATATAATTTTAAAGTCACAAATAAGACTGAATTAAGGCAGTGGTTTTTAAACAGGGCTGATTCTGCACCCCCCGGAGATATTTGGCAATCTGTCTCTGGTGTCACAGCAGGAAGAGGAGTTGCTACTGGCTTTTAGTGAGTAGAGGCCAGGGGTGCTGCTAAACATCCTAAAATGCACAGATAGCCCCCCACAACAAAGAATTTTTCAGCTCAAAATGTCAATGGTACTGAGGTTGAGAAATCCTGATCTAAGGTATTTAACTGTAAATAGACATTTTCTTTTTTTCCTGGAGTTTAGGTCACCTATGCTTATGTCTCAGATATCACTTGAATAATTCTGTGCTCACTATGTTGTTTTTCTGATGAATACAGTTAATCTGGTGACAGTTTAAGCTGTGACAAATATGTGTTGTTTTCATGTCATTAAATTATTTTTCTAGGCCAGTTGGACAAATGCAAGTAAAAAGCAACGTGAAAAGCTGCTTGAGCTGATACGTCGTCTTGCAGAAGATGATAAAGATGGTGTGATGGCACACAAAGTGTTGAACCTCCTGTGGAATCTTGCCCACAGTGATGATGTGCCTGTAGACATCATGGACCTGGCTCTCAGTGCCCACATAAAAATACTAGATTATAGTTGCTCCCAGGTAAGAGGATGCTGCTTTGCTCACTTTTTGTTACCTTTCTCCTTCACAATTAGGATCGTTTAGATACAGAATAGTTTCAGGTTATTCCAACCTTATATTTGAAGCTATCTTCAAGAATTGACTTACTTTCTTCATGTAAGTTTGCCTCCTCTTCTTAGGTGTCTGTGTCAAAGTTTTATGTATCACCTGAAAAGCATTTTAGTCTTGGGAGGGAGGCAGTATAAACAACACCGATTATACAGTGGCAGTATTGTCAAATGTGTGGTACTGAAGTATCAGTTTCAGATAGATCAGATGTAAAATATTAAAGCTTAGTAGGAACTTTATAGGTAAGAGAAGTTAGGTTTTCTTTGCTTATAAGGAAGATAAGAAAAAATAATAAAATTCCCACAAAGGTAAAACATTTAATGCCTTCCCTATGAGCAAATCACACAATAGCTTCCCTGCATTCTAACTTGTAGTATGTGTATCTTTTAATTCATGGTACAATGAACATTGCTGAATAACTAATTTCTCACTTGTTAAAACTATTTGCTACACTGATGAAGTGAAATTTAGGAAGGAGCTAAGAAAATAAGCTCAAGTAGGTGTATGTGATTCAGATGCTACTCAGTATTTGACTACTTGCTGTGACAGTTAATTAAGTGTATTAAATAGTAATAAGAGCCTTGAGCTTACATTATTTCTTTAAATGGAGACATATACACACAGATAAAATAATCCAAACTTAAAATTAAGTACACAAACCTGCATTTCTGATTACTGTTGACTTAGGGAAAGGAGTAAAGTAAATAAGGTTTGAGAAGTAAAATATCATACATGAAACAATTTTGACTTTATAACATTAATTTTTAACTGTCCTCTTATCTGTTTCTATCCCTTTTTCTCCTTGTCTATATGTGGATATGTCCTTATTTTGATTTTTGGTGAATTTCTTTTTAACTTAGTTGCCATTCTATTATTTCTTCATAAAATACAAATTTTCAGTGTTATTCACTGTAATAAAAGCTAACTGTAATAGAAGTGTAACAATTAGGGTTACATATTATTGCTGAATTTTATTACATGGCAGAATCTCTGAAAACATTGAATAAAGCTAAATGCCCACCTGGCAAAATTAAAATCAACGTTTGTGTCAGTGTGCGTAATACCTAGTAACTATATACCTTTGTGTAGACATATCTGAGTCTGTCATGTTCAGCTTTTATAATAGTGGTTTGCTTTTTGGAGTTCTGATAGTAAATGTGAAATAAAAAAGCTTAAAGCAGCTTTTAAAATTACCGTTATTAAACTCTTTACTGCAGTTACAGCATAGTGTTTGTGATGCTAATCTTATAAGAGAAGCTCTGTTTTGTAATTCTCAAAGTAATTTGAAGGTGGACTTCTCCCATGTATTGACCTATATAAAACATTGAAATTGTTTGTTTAAGGACCGTGACACACAGAAGATCCAGTGGATAGATCGCTTTATAGAAGAACTTCGTACAAATGACAAATGGGTCATTCCCGCACTGAAACAAATTAGAGAAATTTGTAGTTTGTTTGGTGAAGCACCTCAAAATTTGAGGTAAGGCTTTTAACAGAAAATTTCAGTATTATTACTTATATATTTTATTGAAAAGAAGCAGCATTTTCAGTTGGTAAAAGCAAATTTAAATGAGAAAATTAGACTGGGGTGACAGGAGGCTAAGAGAAGGGTTAATTTGGAGCAAAAGATTCTTTTATCATATCCACCTCCTCGATGTTATTGATGAGGAAGTAAGCAACAGTTAAGTGACATGTATCAGAATCAAAATGATAATATTGCCTTCAGGTTCTTGGTTCAGAATTACCTCTTATTTCCAGCAAGTATGCCAGATAATTTCATGGTATATGTTGTTGTACCTCGTAATCTCATTCCTCATTTCAGTTTTTCCTTCCTCTTTGTTTCCTTCTTTTCCCAGTTTCTACCTTTTATTTCATATTATAGTGTATTTCTTAGAGACCTTATTGTTTCCTTAGTTGGCTTACTATGAAATATTTAACAATTTATTAACTCTGTAACGTTCTATAGACGTTTTCAAAGTAAAATAAACCTATCGTTTTTAAATAATTAACATTAATTATAAAGACTGGACTGCAAGTATGTTTAAATGATGAAAGATGACAAGATATAGTTTAGAAAAATTTTTTCTGATTTAGCTAAATTTCTGTTAAATAACTGTCTTTAAATATGTTATCTTACATGCTAAATCTGATTACTGTAATAATTTGTCCTTGTATTGTTTGGTTTAAGAGTTCGAACTGATAACAGAAAAGGAAAAAGAATGTGGAAAGAAAAAGAGCTAGGTGTAGTGCAAAGGATATTCACAGTGGAGTCAGGATTCCTGTCTGTGACACTTGTGTCTAACCAGTCATTCATTTGGTAAAGATTCTCTGATCTAAAGAAATGTGTTTTTCTTATGTATAAAATTAAATGATTGCCAAGGTCCATTACAGCTCTAGATTATTATGATTATGCCTAACACGGAAGTATAAAAGGCCACATATATTTTGGTTTTAACGATTGAACTTTGTCTCATTTTTTTTAACAATTGAACTTTGTCTCATTTTTTTCCCCAGTGCTAGAAAAACAATATGAAATCAGAAAAGCTATTATAGGAATAAACAGTAGAGAAAATTTAGATGTATATCAATTTATTAACAGTAACATTTATTTGAAGGACATATTTTTATTACATTTGGCCCTCTGTACAGTAGTACATTCATTTATTGCAGATAGACACAGTAGTTTACATACTCTCCCAAGGTGCAGTGGCTTCATCTGCACGAGGATAGTAATGGCTATGAGAGTTGGTTTCAAAGAAGATGGCGAAATAGGTTGGAAAGGAACTAGATGTCTTTCTGGTGATACCTATGGGAAACCTTGGCTACACACCAAGTGTCCCCAGAATGTACCTTGAATGGCTAATAAAATTTTACTGAAAATATTTTTTTATTCTCCATTATAATTGCAGCACAATCTTTGTGATGCTAATCTTGGCAAGGAGTGTGTCTTTTATAATTCTGGTGGTAATCACGTAAATTTAAACAACTGATTTGGTACTAGCATAGTTAGTACAGGAGTAGAAATCAATCATTCAAGCACATTGGTGTGAAATTGGAGAATATTCATGCCTATATTTTGTGTAAAATAACCATGGAATAAATCTTATTTTTTCAGGCATTTTTTAAAAAATTGCTTGATATTGTCAGTAAAGTAAATGGCCAAAGGTGTAATTCTATTATAAAGGAAACCATTTTAAGTTTTTAAATTAGTAGCTAAGAATTTAGATTATATAAGGTCTTTTGATTCCAACAGAGTTTAATTGCCTAATTATATTGTTAAGTTCTTCTCGTTTCAGTCAAACTCAGCGAAGTCCCCATGTATTTTATCGCCATGACTTAATCAATCAACTTCAGCACAATCATGCCCTAGTTACTTTGGTAGCAGAAAACCTTGCAACTTACATGGAAAGCATGAGACTGTATGCTAGAGGTATGTATTGTAAGTTAATATGAACTATGGGAAATAACAGCAACTTCTCAGTTTTTTGGAAGGGGGCATTAATTACCTTAAAAATGACAACAAATGTATTTTGTGTTCCTTTATGAGCTTATGATCCACTTTACTCTTAACTTTTACACACCCTGACTCCAGGCCAGCACTTCAAGGCTCTTTACTAAGTGCTTGCCTTCCCCATTTTCTTTGTTAAATTGATTTCTTTTTATTCTCTGCCTGGGAGCTGTGCCTTCCTGTACTACAATTGGTTATTACCTTCTTAGGTATGTATTTGACTCATTGTCAACCTTGGTTTCCTTACTACCAGCATGGTTACCTTTTCAAGAAAACTTTTTGTCTGTCTGCGTCTATTATATATATTCTAGTTTTGTTTTTTATAATCCTAAACCTTTGTTTCATATGTGCTTCAGACTTTAATGAATTAAAAATTCACGAATATTGAGATGCAAGGCTACAAGAAGCCATATGTTTACATTGGTTTTCAGTATGAAAAGTGTCCTGTGGGTTGTTTATTTTGTTTGTTTGTTTGTTTGTTTGTGTTTTTTTTTTTTAGCTGAGCCATCCTGCCACCTGTTGGCAGCTCAGCTCGGGCTGGACTCGAAGCGCTGTTGCTCAGAGCTCCAACTCTTGAGCGAGCTCTTAACCAACTGAGCCACTCGGCCGGCCCTTGTCCTGTGGTTTTAACAGCTGGTTTTTAAGTGCCTGCTATATGTGGAGCTGTTTCAGTGCTCTTTTGCCCTCTGACATTTGTATCTGAATCTGAGTCTGCTAGAGTACAGATCTGTTATTAGTACGTATTCCTATTTTTTGCCAAATTCATAGCCCCCGCCCCAGTAAAACCAAAAAGCTGTAGGCTCAAGTTTGTTCCCCTTAACCACAGAAAGAAAACTTTGTTACCAGTATCAGAGATAGAATTGAACATAATGGTTACTGAACATACCACTCTTTTAAAATGTTATAGTAGAGTCTGCAGAAGCCAATAGTATATTTTGAAAATGAGGATATTTTTAATACTCATTATTTGAAGAGCAGGTAGACTCTTGGCATTGTTGAATAAAATCCCAAGGTACTTCTAAAGCATGAGATTTTTTTTCCCTTAACACTTATATACATTCCCATATGAAATTCAGATAAACATAATTGAAAAATGAAGCAGCTCTTCAGATACCCCTACTGATTTTGTTGACTCTTGTTTCCTCCTCAGCAATAGATTATGGAGCTAGATAAGAAATCGAAGCATCAGGCAGCTAATAGGCAGCAGGCAATGATCTTTTGTCATTTCAGTGCTAAATTCCTTCTAAGCAGCATGATAGAACAATCTGTGCAACATAGGCATGCGCCCATGTGAGTTATGTTCTGTACCAAATGCAATCAAAATCTGAGAGAGGCGCAGTAGGTTTGCATGTAGTACACTCAGGCACATAGGCTCAGTTTAACATACCTGATTCTTATGATCTCTCCTTGTTGGTATAAAGCCCTCCTAGATGTCAATTCAGTCCTTGCCCCCAAATGGAGCCATATAAATCATGTGCTGCAGTGCTAATTTTTATTTCATTTGCATATGGTGTTGCATTTAATTTCATTGTCAGAGGTTGAGAACCCTGCTGTTGGGGAGGTCAGGAAAAGGTGCATATGCAGTTTGGCCTCAGTAGAGTTGTCTGCCCTATTTTAGTCAAATTCCATGAGTCATTGCCTCACCTGAATTTCATGGTCACAAGAATGTTTTCAGTCTTCAGTTTCTCCTCCTTATATTGTCTGTATCTCCACAAAGTAAGAGATGTGAATCTGCACAGTCAGATTGCCTAGCTTCGAAATGTGACCCAGACATACAACCTTGGGCAAGTTATTTATGCTAGAATGATGTCTGATACATAATAAGCTCTTGAGAGGTTTCTCTCTGACTAGCCTCGATACCTTTTCCTCCTCTGTTACAGTATTCTTTTGATTAATACTGATAAGTCTTCAGATACTTAAATATGGGGGGAAAGTAATTTTTTTAAGCTAGTAAAATTCTCCTGTTAAACTTTTCGTAGTATTAAATCATTTCTGTGGTTACATCAACTACCAATTTCTGAATTTGCAATTCTAAAGTAAATTAACAGTTTTTTCCTCTGTATAATAAAAGTATTGCATGGATCCCATTAGGTATGAGACATTATTCAGCAGAATAACATCAGGCTTCCACAGTTCACTGTTATCTCAATTTCTGATAACTGTTTCACCAATATTTAGTATTTGACCTGTCCATGTTTCATCTCCACTAGAATCTTCAGCTTTGGGGAAAAAAATGTTTCTTCAGTAGTATGGTCAGCTGATTCTCACCTCCTCTTTTAACATCATTTCGATAAAGTAATAAACTGACTCTCCAATATTTCCCTCCCAATATTTACTCATGTGTTCGCACTACTAGTGCCTTGAAGCACTGGTTCTTACCAAGTCATTCTTAAAGTTTTTCATGTGTATACAACAAAGTATGAAACCACCTTTCAGTTTTCACTCAACTTCTACCTCATTGGTAGGATAGTTCTTGTATTAACTTGAACACTCATTGAAAGTTTTATTTACCATTTTTTCCTGGTTTCCGGTAGAATTGGAAGACTTGTCGTCATGGTAGGTCACATTTTTGCATTCTGTTTTCTAAGGACTTGCCACTTTCAGTTACCTCTTCCCAGTCTCTTACATCCCAAACTAGCAGTTTTTAGAAACATTTTTTTCCTGTAAAAAGATTTCTCTGAATGTTATTCACCAACTGTTTTCTGTGTTAGGATGTAGATCCTAGGCTAGATTTTCTCAGTAGCCCTGGCTCACTCCTACACATCAGCCACGAAGTACTGTTAAGTCTGTGGGTTCTTTGTGATTTAAAAAAATATTAAGCAAGTATCCATTTATTAACAGTTTACAGCTCTCTGGAGTAATGGGTATTTCTAGGGCTGGTGCAGGGAAATGACACGACAATCCTTGAACACCTCATTTCACAAAGCAAGAAAGTGCTCAAAGAATCATGTTGGCATGTCAAAAAAAATAGAAGTTGGCTCTTACTAGCCAAACTGGGTCAAGATAAATAATGAAAATAAACTAAACCCATTAAATAAAATACAAACCCTTCAGTCTATACTGAAAGAAAGGGAAATACCAACTAATAAATGTAGACCATAATTTTGATTTAAAAAAACAAAGGAGTGAGGGATTTAACTTGAATGGTGGCAATGAGATGCTGAGTAGACCTTTTTCTTATCAAAACCATTTAACGGGAAAATTGTTATATTTTTTTTGGTTTTTATTTTTTAAGATTTTATTGGGGAATTGGGGGAAGGGGAACAGACAAGTTGCTGTCCTTTTGTTCTTCAGCCTAGTTGTGGAGGATGTTGCTTCACTGGCCCAAGTTGGCACCATCATTGCGCTCTTCCCAGGTGAGGCAGATCAGTTGCCGGCTTCTGGACGGCCGCTCACTGCAGCCGCTGGCCGCTCACTCTGGCTGCTGGCTACACATGGTAGCCCATGGCAACCCACTGCAGCAGGGGTTGCAGCCTACGCCGTCACCGGCGACTCATGGCAGCCCCGCTCCAGGTTGAGCTGTTGTTCAGCATCTTAGCTGTAGAGGGCAGTGTCACTGGCCCTCACATGTGGGATCTGAACCGGAGCCCTCTGGCGTCCCAGGCCAGCTAGCTCTTAACCAACGCGCCACTCGGCCGGCCTGGAAAAATTATTTTTAAAACAATCATTTAAAGGATCTGGGAATTGTCCTAAGGGGATATAGCAAGTGGGAAAACATTTATTCAAGAAAATCTGCCATATTTCGGAAAGAACAGGAAGAGTCTGTAGGATTTGAGCCACAACCGATTTCCTCTCCCACAGTTGCCAGTCTGTCTATAGCCATGGTTCTACCACAGGAAGGGCAGGCTATTGGCATTTCTTATCTTCCCCTGTCCTGTAGTACAGAAGCTCTATTTTAGGTATTCATTTAGAAGGCTGAGAGTTCCTCATGCCTCTTAATGCCTCATCATAGGGCAGAAACTTGATTCCAGGCCTGGCAGGCTGAGAATACAGGAGCCCTGATGACCCCCCACCACAGCTTGTTCATAAGGGGGACATTCCATGCCAGAAGGGACAAACTGAGAAAATCAGAGTCCGTGCCGCCTCCTCACACACAGCAACATCGCTTATCGAGCCAGGGGTCTTATTACTCTGGGAGAAGCCGCCTGCTGTACTGCCGGTAGCTCCTGTGCAGTGGTCCAGAGGTTCTCAGAGGGAGAGATAAGCCGTGAGGACAAAGAACTCGGCAGGTTGCCTTGAAAGGACTGACTTTATTTGGACCAGAGCATGCCATTCCTAAGGGCATTATCAAAACCAGTGGAAATACTGGGGAAGAGCAATTTTGAGGGTGCTTGTAGCTCCTTATACTCTTATCAACAAGTGAAACAGAAGAAACCAGAATTGTAACAGATCTAGAGAAAGACAGCCAAGATAAGCCCTCCTCGGATCACAGTCAACCCTTGGGGTCCAGGGATGTTGTGTATATGTATTCGGCTGCACCCACTCAGAAATCAAAGTACAACCTGGGGCAGGTTGAAAACATTCCTCAATGTACAAGTGTGTATAAGAAAATAATTCCATTTAGGATAGCTTTTTAAAAAATCAAATACTTAGGAATAAATTGAACTAAAGTAGTACAAAACTTGTACACCAAAAAGTACAGAATAACATTGATGAAGGAATTGAAAGAGCTAAATAAATGGAAAGACATCCCATTATCATGAAATGGAAGGCTTAATATTGTTAAGGTGGCAGTACTCTGCAAGTTGACCTATAGATTTAACATAATCCCTATAAAAATCCCCTTTTTTTACTTTTTACAGAAGCTGATCCTAAAAATTATAGAAATGCAAGTGACCTTAAGAGCCAAAACAATCTTGGTGATAAAAATCACAGTTGGCTGACTCATACTTACTGATTTCAAAACTCTCTACAAAATAACAGTAATCAAGATAGTGCAGTACTGACATAAGGATCGATACATGCATCAGTGGAATACAATTGACAGTCCAGAAATAAACCATTACAATTATGATCAATATATAAGAACTCTTATAACTCAACAATTAAAAGACAACCCAATTAGAAATGGGCAGAGGATCTGTATTGACATTTCTCCAAAGATAAATGGCCAATAGGCACATAAAAAGATGATCAATTTCATTAGTTATTAGGGAAATGCAAATCAAAACCTCAGTGAGAAACTACATTACACCTACTAGGATGACAAAAATTAAGACAACAGCAAGTGTTGGCAAGAATGTGCAGAAATTGGAGCTTTCGTATGTTGCTTGTGGGATTTTAAAGTGGTGCCGACATCTTGATAAACAGTTTGGCAGTTCCTCAAAATGGTAAACAATTTACCATATGATTCACTCCTAGTTATATACCCAAGTAAAATAAAAACATGCAAAAACTTGAACATGAATGTTTAAAACAGCATTGTTCATGATACCCAGAAAAGTGGAAACAACCCAGATGTGTCCATCATTTGATGAATGGATAAATAATATGTTGTATATCCATACAGTGGAATACTATTCAGCAGTATAAAATGGTACAACATGAATGGACCCTGAAAACCAATATGCTAAATGGCGAAAAGACCACATATTATCTGATTTCATTTATATGAAATGTTTAAAATAGACTAAAGGCTGAAGGTGGGAGGAAATGGGGAGTAACTATGCAGGATTTCTTTTTGAAGTGATGAAAAATCTTATAAATGTAGATTGTGATAATGGTTCCACAGCTTTGTGCTAAAAACCGTTGAATAACACAGTTTAAAATGGTGGATTTTTTGGTCTTTGAATTATATCTCAATTACAGATGCTTTTTAAAAAGTGAACTTCCTCTCACAATGAGTTCTGAAATGGACTCTAGACAACTTGCAGTTTATAATGACAAGATCCAGTTTGTGTTAGCCCTAGCCATAGACACTTGAGTTAATTTAGCCTCATCTAATTTCTCCTGTGTTCAGTGGGATGGATATCTACTAGCTAGGTAGCGTGAGTCATAAATGGATCATCCTCTTAAGTTGACTGTTAACTAATCACAGTATTTGGAGCTGAATGGTTATAAGGAAAACCAGCAACCATCTTTGTGTTTTCACAGCCAGGAAGCTTTTCTGTAGTAAAGTATGGGACCTCTCCATTCCTATTTAACATAGGAGGATCTTATTTCTTGACTTTTCTTGATGATTTTTTGGCTTTTATTGAATGTTTTCAAAGTTATTTGTGTTCAGGGTCCCACGTCTTGATAAAGTGCTGGCACCTAAATAAAAAAAGGCGGTGATGCTAAAACTGGTGGGTAAAAGTTTGAGAAGAAACAAGCGAGATATTTACATAGTCTCAAGGTATCTTCCCACAAATTACTTATTAATTATGATGAGAGAAATAGTAACTTTACAGTGGAGAACCCTGATAAAACCACCTTGACCAAATAAATGACCAGTTAACATGAATACGGACCACAAAGTGACATGATGTTCCTCCTGATAATAGTACACTGAGAACATGGGGTCACTTCTGTGTTATTTGCCAGAATGCCCAGCCTGAATCTAGTAACGAAGAAACGCCCAAATTAAGCGATTTGCAAAAATATTGGAGCATAGTTTTCTAAAAGGTCAAGAAACATGAAGGACGATGAATTCTCCAGATTAAAGAAGAATAAAAAGGCATGTGCAAACTAAATGCAGTGTGTATTTAATCTTGGCTTTGGAGTAAAGAAAATATAAATGGACATTAAGAAAATTAAAATTGTCTGCAGATATTTTTGGTTATCTTTAACTTGGGGAGGAGATTTGGGCAAGGATACTATTGAAATAGTGTGGGTAGAGGCCTGAGATGCTGCTAGATATCCTACAATGCACAGGGCAGCTCAAAGAATTATCCAGCCCCAAATGTCAATAGTGTGCTGTTGAGAAACATTGGATTAGATAACAGTATTATATTAGTGTTTAATTCAATAACTGCTGTGGTTAGGTAAGAGAATACGCTTCTTGTTTGGAAATATTTATTGACGTGTTTAAGGGTAAAGGGAAATGTCTCCAACTCAATCTCAAATGATTTAGAAAAATTACACATGTACATATGTGGCGACTAATGAAGCCAATGGAGCAAAACGCAAACAACACAACTAGTGAATATGGGTAAAGGTAATAAGGGAATTCTTATTTTTGAAACTTGTCTTAAGTTTGGAATTATTAAAATTCCCCCTAAAAAGGAAACTGCCAAGTAAACAAAGCTGTGCATAAACTCTTAGTTTAAAAAAAAAAAAGTCCCTGAAGTCCATTATTTATTCAGATACTTGAAGGCGAGTGCTCTGAAAATTTTCTACATAATGGAATAGAATTTGATATTCCATCTATTGGGTCGCTGGGACAGTCATGGCATATTTTTCTATGTTTTTCAATGCAAAAATGCGTCATGACTTTCCCGGCAACCCAGTAGTTTCTTTAGAAAACTTCTTGAGAAGTTGTGCTTTAAGTCCTAAGCCCTGAGGAAATTGACTTTCATGGACGTAGACCATATGCGTTTAGGACTTTTAGTAGATGACAATAATATGTGGAAGTAGAAAGCAGTCAGAATATCATTGGGCTTTGTTCTCTTCACCAAAGCATCAAAAGCAGATGTTTCTAAACATTGTAAATGTTTCATCATTACAATATGTCAAGATTTTGTTCAGAGAAGAAACCTCACTATTTTTGGAGACTTTGATTACCTTTACTATTTCCAAAGGTTCTCACACAAGTGCACACATGTACCATAAGGTCCAGGATCTCGTATGGAATTATCAATATTTAATGCTAAAGGGAAATTGCACAATTTTTATTCCTCTATAACTTGCCAGAACTTCCTGGAAACATCAGTGATTCCCATGTGTGGTATACAGCACTTGTCAAAGCATTTGCTTTAGCTTTCTTCTGTTCCAAGCCACAAATCAACTTGACCATTTCCAAGTCATACAGCTTTTTCCAATAAAATAAAAATTCAAGCAAACCTCAAAAAAACCCTATCCTTAGTATTTTTAGGACAGTAGGTGCTTTCTAAGATTTTTTTTTTTTGCTATAGTCTTTCATTGCAAACACAGACTTTTTCACCCGTTGTATGCTGTAATGAAAGTAAAACCAACGGGTTTACTTGCTTTGTTTCATTTTTTTAAACGGAATTTCCAACTTAAGCTAGTAGGCCTAGGGACCAACACCTACCCATAATTGTGATAGAAGGGTAAGTTTTCTTGAATTTTCTGAGACTATTCTAGACTTTCATAATACATCGATGGTGATAACTATGATAACTTCCTAGGTAGACATTAGTAATATAATTTCTTTTTTATAACAATATTTTTTTCCTCCAAGAGTTTTCAGTGTAACAGGAAGGAAATTGAAGAAAAGATGTTGTCTTGGTGGTTAGTTCACGTTCACAGACCACTTAGATCACTCTTAAGCTATAATCAGAAATTGCTTCATTGTGTATGAAGATTAGGTGACGGGGTTGTAATGAAGAATTATTTTTATGGCACATTTAACATCATTTTCTTTTGATTATGTAAAAGGAAAATTAATTTTTGTGGGAAAAATAGATGACTAGAAATCACCAATAATTAGAAAAATTTGGGTTGCCTATTTTAATGATAAAAAATTAATGACTTTTTAACTGGCTTAATTTCCTTTGGTTAAAGTCGGCAGTGATGTGTGTATCCAAATATGTAATGCATGATTTTTTTTTTAACTTGCAGACCATGAAGACTATGACCCACAAACTGTGAGGCTGGGAAGTAGATACAGTCATGTTCAAGAAGTCCAAGAACGGCTTAACTTCCTTAGGTTTGTTTTAAACAATTAGTGTTGCCCTCTTTAAGGCACAGATAAAGAATGCCATGATAATATGCTGTATAGCTTAGATCCTTTTTAGGTGGCCTTTTCTCCTGGGCCACATTTTTCCAATGGAAATCATTACCTGAAAGTCACAGTACATTTCCCAATGTGTTCATTTATTAAATATTTTATTTTATTTTATTTTTTTATTTTTATTTTTTTTTAAAGATTTTTATTGGGGAATTGGGGGCATGGGAACAGTGCTGGGGAATTGGGGGAAGGGGAACAGACAAGTTGCTGTCGTTTTGTTCTTCA